CCCCTCCGCCCTCCCGCAGGCCGCTCGCCCTGGCGGGGGTTAACGGGGCGGGGCGGGCCGCCGTACCGCTTGTCCTGCTCGGGACAGTTCAACAGGCGCTGAACTGTGAAAAGGAAGAGATTAAGAAAACGCTGTGGAGCTGGAGCTGACACGAGTGGCAGGAAAGAGCTAGAGCAGAGCGACACAGCTGGACTTCACGTGTGGATTTTAATAGGTTGTGACAGGTTTAGCTAACTGCCAGGGAATAGGCTTGAAATCGCCTGCCTTTCTGTCAAAACTCTCCTCGCTGTAGCACTCAGCTGCCTCTAAATTATTTAAAAGTACAAATGAAAATCACTTGCTTTTCATTATTATGCTCAGCTTGCAAAAGATAACAAACAGCTCAGCCAGTTTTATAGGAATTAATGCCTGAGTGAACAAAACAGTTGAGTGTGTGACCAACTTACCAAGAAAAAGAAATAAATACATCTGAATTCGGATCTGCAAGCAGGCTGTGGTGCTTCTCACCTTTTGTTGGAACATGTTTCTCCAGATTAATTCCTGTGAAATTCCTGTCTTTAGTACAGATGGACCTTTTCTCTGAGACAGAGATGGCCAGAAAGCAGGAGGGCTTCTTTGGAAGCCTTGCTGGATGGAAAGTTTTGGATTTTGAGGGAGTGTGGGAGGAAGTGAACATCTGTTGCAGAAACTCAAATAGTTTTGGTGTTAGCTTGAGTAAAAAGTTGGTTTCGTACACATAAAAATGTCTTATTCAGGAGCAATGCCTGCTTATGCTAGCACTGTACTTTATGAAAAAACATGCTTTAGGTTCTCATGCAGCACTTCCCCTCCAGGTCAGGGTCATTGGTAACCTGTGACTGCCACAGTGCTCCACGTCTGCTCTCTGAATAGTGCAGCCTGTCGTGCTGTGTGGGACTCGAGTCACTGCAGCAAAGGGAGGAATACGGCATACAACCAGTGCGGGAGGATGTGGTTTAATGCTGAATTGAGCCAGACTGTTCTGATGCAGGCATATCATACCATTTGTTCTGCTGAGCATATCTACAGGAAGTATTTACACATTTCCAAATAAAAAGGCCGAGTTTGGGAACTTTCTTATTCTTAGATGAAAAAGGAATTCTGGTTAAGACATTTTTGTAAGACATTTTAGTTGAGCTCAAGCTTAACCTCCTCTTTGAGGGAGGAGGATTGCTTAAACAGACCTACCTGGCAGTTCTTTAGAAGTAGTAGTAGATTCAGAGCAGATACCCTGCAGCTCTCCCAGTTTGAGGAGAAACATGGGCCGTTTCCAGGGGAGTGAGAAAAGGGCAAACTTTAGGCAAAAGTTCTCAGTCCTTACCCCAACATTAAGGACCATTATTGGACAGGCAATGGGAGACTTGGACTGTCCTGGTTGCCAGCCACCAGGAAGCTTTGCCCCAGCACTGAAAGGGGAGTTCCAGAGGCAGCCTGATATCTCTGCCCCCATCCCATGCAGATCCCTCAGCACTGCAAGTGCCCCTCTCCTCGCCACTGTCTCATCCTGCTGCGTTCCTCCGTAACGTGTCCTGGCCATGCTGCCAGCCCCACTGTATAGCAGCAGCTTCTCCAGAGCTTCCTGTGGCTCAGTAGCGGTGGTGTGTCCTGGCCCTGGCCAAGAGGAGAGGTGTTGGCAGAGGCCAACAGCAGGTCAGTGAATCCTGAGAATTTCTCACCTCAGCACGGCTGCCAGCTGCCTGGCATGAGGGCAGAGCGCCGGGAGCTGGGATTGCCTGCTCCACCACCTTCTAGAACCTTCCCAGGCCGGGCAGCCGGTCAGGAAAGGCCCTGCCCTGCCCTGGGAGGTTCTCCTCTTGGAGGATTTGCTGGGCACTGTGTTGGCACAGAGGCATCTCTGTCTCCAGGGAGGTTATTTGGGTGATAACCTGATGCTGCTTATGTTTTGCCTCCGTCGCGTGAGCAGGCAGGACACAGCTCACCACACTGCTGGAGTCTGGCCGGAGGAGAGAGGCGCTGCGTCGAGTGCACAGCCCAGCCCCTTGGCAGCAGGCGGACCGCCAGGAGGTAATGGTTGGCTACAGCAGATGGCAAGGAGAAGTCCTAACCTTCTTTTTCAACAGATCTGTCAAGCTGAAGACTTGTCCTGATAGCAGCTCCTGTTATATAGGAGTGCCTTTCATGTAAAATTAATGGCCATAACCAAGTCCCCAGTGAACTTCATGAACTCTCTAGTACTTCTGCAATTTTGCAGTTGAGAGCTTGTTTCGTTATCAGCCTAGAAATGTGACACTGGCTGTACTCTGTGTGGTTAAGGGCAGACTGATGAAGGGGGGGGGAAGGTTTGTTTTGATGAGAAATCCCTTTTTTTGTTGAAACCTTTTGGTGTGACTTCTTCATTTGGGAAAGAGCGATGTTGCAGAGGTTACTTGTGACAGAAAGCTTTTTAATGCAAAAGAAAAGTTAGTCATATTTGGCAGATGTGTATGTAGCCCATTCAGGGTCCATGGTCTTTTAAATCATGACTATGAATGAAAATATGCCTCTCACTTTGTAATAGCTGACTAGAAGTAAAAAATTGTCCTGTCTTGCACGCTATCAGTATGAAAGTGTCACTATCTCTTTGCATGTACAAGAACAGGGTGTACTGTGTGTTTGTCATCTGGACATGAAAATTCCAGCTGCCCCGTGGAACCAGCTTTGGCTTTTAGTGCAGAATTACAAATATTAGATACTTCTTTGTGTAATAACATGGCCTGGCCAAAATAAATTTTTAAAAAATGAGCTGTAGGAACATTTTTCATAACTTGTATAAAGACCGCTATTCCAGTTTAAAGGATGCTATAATATCACATCCTCCTAAACCAAAATATAGTGGAAGTCTACAACACGCAAAATTGGGCAATCTGAAGCAGGAATTTCATGAGTGGGAGATATGAGGAATTTTATCTGAGGAAAACTAGTTTACTATTCCAAGAACATGATAAGATCTAAACATGCAGTTTTATAGTAGCAGACATTTCATCAGCACTTTTCCTGTATGAGTTTGCTCAATAATTTATTCTATTTTCATACACTTCTGCTTTAGATCCAGTGAGTCAGACACACAAAAAGTGTAAACCACAGGAGTTCTATGGACTTCAGTGAAGTTACATTTATTTTACATCACCTCAGGAAGCTCTTTATGAGAATGGAAAAAGTAAAAGGCCATGTAGTCTCTCTCCCTCTTTCAGTTCCTACACAGCAGCTATAAGATGAAAAGACCTAGTTTCATTTTATTTTATGTAAATAGCTCGCTGTCCAATAAAACTGAAGGAACAAGGAAAAAAAAGGAAACAGAGAAAATAATAGATATCTCTGCCTGCATTCTTGTGGTACCTGTATTCACAATCCTGTATTCTGATAGAATATTAGTCTTTACTGATTCTTTCACTGTGCTCCTTAGTGATTCCATAGTTTGAGGGGGGCTCTGGAAAGAGTTGTGTAAGAGTGGTTGTTTGAGTTCATAGCCATGGGAGTAAAAGGGGATAGAACTGTAAAGCTTGTGGCCTATAGCTCTTTCAAATATAAGCATGCCTAATGATGTTCCTTTTATTGAGACCAGGTTAATAATAATGCAGAGCTGGTAGGAGAAGGAAGGAGTGAACAGGTTTCTGCCAGAGATGAGCCACAGTCTCCACTGAATGTTTGCACAGTGCTCCTTTCACCTTGGATCCCAGTGACTTAGTAAAAGAGTGTGAGTATCGGACCTTCATCTTCATCTTCATAATCCCTTTAGCTTATTTTACTTTGGACACATCACTGTGTTATAACAAGTAATTCCCTGAATTCTGATAGCAAAATCACCAGAAAAGTCTCTGGTTGTGAAAGACTTGGGGGGGAAGGCAGCTTTAGTGGCTTAAATTTGATGATACTTTTACAAAGGGTGGAGGTAGGGCTTGAATATTAAAAAAATCAAGAAGCCATTTATATATGGTATTTTGGGAGTCAGCAGTCAGCAACTCTGACATTTCAGAAACACTTCAGGCTGCTTCGGAGGGCTGAGAAGGAACTCTAAGCTGTAGTGACAGCAACGGGCAGTGCCACGGAGCTTCCCGAACTGGCTGTTACAGGAATCAAAACTGCCAAAATAGTGCCCAAAACAATGGTCTTGCCATCTTTCTAGCTCAGTTGAATCGAAACACGTTGGAAATTTCATTAAATTGCTTTTGCAAACTATCCCATTGATTTTTTTATTGTAATTTGATGGCTTCTGTTGATGGACAGAGACTTCTAAATTTGTGGGTATTGTTCTTCCTTCATGCTAAAATTAGAGGGGGGGGGGGGCATTAATGATTGCCCACAAAATGGCAGAAGGCATTACTGTCATGGCAGAGATAAATGAATAATTAGGAAAGTAAACTCTGAAGGCAAAAAAACTTGGCACTTAAGTGTTTTGATACTTTTGGAAGATGTGACACAAAAAAGACTGTGTTCTCTATACTGTTCTATAGCAGTTTGTGCTGTATGTCATGTGTGATATGGAAAAGAGATTATAATACAGGTGTTCTTGCATTAAACATAGTGATTTAAATGCTTGTTTTATTACCACCTGTTTATTTCTATAGTATAGAGACTGACGTGACTAGTATGGCAGTATAAGGGACAGGGAAATGGAGAGTCTTAGCTGGACTCCCTCCCACCGGTTTGAGT